TGGTTCCCCGTAGTTACCCGTAGTTACCCGTGGTTCCCCGTAGTTACCAGTAGTTACCCGTGGTTCCCCGTGGTTCCCCGTAGTTACCCGTGGTTCCTTGTGGTTCCTTGTGGTTCCCCGTAGTTACCAGTAGTTACCCGTAGTTACCCGTGGTTACCAGTAGTTACCCGTGCTTCCCCGTAGTTACCAGTAGTTACCCGTAGTTACCCGTGGTTACCTGGAGCTCTCCGGCGCTGTGGTCTCTGGTCACGTCATACTTCACGGTGAACGCTCCGTCGACGCTGCTGCTGCTGCAGGTCTCACACTTCCTCTGCTGCTGAAGGGTTGGTTTAAAAACAACATGAACCTGAAAGAAAACAACGATAAACAACAACAATGATAAGACTGACGTGAACACATGTATGTGTGTGTGTGTGAATCCACAGCAGGTTCTGGTTCTGGTTCTGGTTCTGGTTCTGGTTCTACCTTGTCTCTGCTCTGTGTGGTTCTGATCAGCTCAGAGAACTGCTCTCCCAGGGTGCTGGGAGTCTGAACCCAGGAAATTCCCTTAGGCTCATAGATGTAGACGTCCACCTGAGGGAGAGGAGCAGAGGACAGGTCAGATGTTTGGACCTGGACCTGGAGCTGGAGCTCCTGGATCTCCTGACCTGAAGCTGAGGAACCAGTCTTCCAGGCTGCAGGTAGAGCGAGTGTTCGTAGAAGCCCAGGCGTCGCTGCATCATCTCCTGGTAGTGAAGCTCAAAGTCAATGTTGCTGCCAGGAGGAACGTGGACCTCCGTCCTGAAGGTCTCCATGTCCTGAGAGTTGGCTCTGGAGGGAACACACGTCCGTCAGAAAAGGTTCTGCGAGGTGGGAAAGTTCCAGAAGGATCCAGATGGTTCCGTACCTGACGATGCCGGCAGCTTTGCCTCTGGCCCTGGCCTGAGCGTACAGATTCCTGGCCACGCCCTTCTCTTTGACTGAGCCAGAGAAGGTGATACCGTTAACATTCCTGCAGGAGGATGAGGAGAGGAGGAAATAAATGTCCATGAAGAGTTTGTCTTGTTGCGTTGACCTTTGACCTGCTGGTCACTCAGACCTACATGGTGAAGTTGGTGATGAAGGCCCGTTTGGGGATCTGGACGTTGAAGCCGATGCTCTGGGCTGAAGGTCCAGAGTTGATCACTGAGCTCCTCACGGTCGTGTGGGCGAAGCGAGAAGTGATGCGACTCTCCACCCTGTAGCTCTTCACGGTGATGTCATCTCCACGGACGGCCTGTGGAGAACACACACCACACTTGACCTTCAACAAGGTCACCCTCAAACTCCAACAGGGTTGGGAACCACGTGTTTGGTGAAAAGGAGCCGCTCAGATTACTCCTTCTCTCCTCCCTCCTCTTTTGCCCTTCTTTTATTCCCTCCCTCCCCCCCTTCTCCCTCCCCCTTCCCTCCTCCCTTCCTCCCCCTTCTCTCCTCCCCTACATCCTTTTTCTAAGTAATTTCAGGTGATTGTGGGATTTAAGGGCACAGTGATGTCATCAGTGATGTCACAGGTGGAGAAAGTCAACGACCTGTAGGTCAAACCTGTCTGTTTACGAAGAAGGAGGTAAAGTTCAGTGAGTTGGAGAGGAGGTGGGGGTGAGGTGGGGGCCAGGTGGGGGCCAGGGGGACGGGGAGAACCCTCACCTGAAAATCTTCCTCCTCTTCACTCGTCAGTGTTTGTCTCTGAAAATTCAAGAGAAAAGTTGTTCATGGTTAAAGTTGTGGTTGCTTCAACAACGTGTGAGAACCAACATGAGAACCTCTGACCTTCTGCCTGTGCTGATGATCCAGAAGGTTCTGAGGACAGAAGGACACATTAGTCAACATTATAAAAGTCTAATAAAAGCCAACACACGGACTTTGTGTTTTTGTGGTGAAGCAAACAACAAACGTGACCAAAGGTATTGACTTTCACCTCAAAGACAGAGGTGAAAGGTCGTTTCAAAGGTCAAATATCTGAAAGACTTTTTTCTTCTTCTTCCAGACCAAGTTATTTTGATCCATTCTTGTACTAAATGGTTTAGATTTTAATAAAAATAAATAAATAAATAAACTTGATTTGAAAATACAATATTTCACTATTTATAACAGATATAAATATTTATATCTTTGATGTTTACAGTAATTCTATATGGCTACATCTTTGAAGTTTAGTCACAACCCAGTCTTTGATGTTTGGTAACACTTTGATGTCAAAATTTGGTACACTAGCTCAGTCTTTGATGTTTAAATTTTGTACACCAGCCTTAGTCTTTGGTGTTTAAATTTGGTATACCAGCTCAGTCTTTGATGTCATAGTTTGGTACACCAGCTCAGTCTTTGATGTCAAAATTTGGAACCCCAGCTCAGTCTTTGATGTCAAAATTTGGTACACTAGCTCAGTCTTTGATGTCATAGTTTGGTACACCAGCTCAGTCTCTGATGTTTAAATTTGGTACCCCAGCCTTAGTCTTTGGCGTTTAAATTTGGTACACCAGCCTTAGTCTTTGGTGTTTAAATTTGGTACACCAGCTCAGTCTTTGATGTTTTAATTTGGTACACTAGCTCAGTCTTTGATGTCAAAATTTGGAACCCCAGCTCAGTCTTTGATGTTTAAATTTGGTACACCAGCCTTAGTCTTTGGTGTTTAAATTTGGTACACCAGCTCAGTCTTTGATGTTTGTTATAAAAGTAACAGATCAAACAGACCTCGTCTTCCAGCTGTCCATCGATGACGAACTCAAAGCAGCAGCAGTGATGAAGCAGCGGCAGCAGCAGCAGCAGCAGCAGCAGCGACGATCGGCGCCTCATGATTCCAGATTCTTCTTCTGCTCTGAGCTCAAACACACATGTACATGTAGCTACCGACGACGGTCGAGTTTCACAGACTGAACCAGACTCTCACACACACACACTGTCATGTCCTGATGGAAGGTTTAAATCCACAGCAGTGGAGCTGGACTTTTTGATCCAGTCAATATTTACTGTCTGTCAATAGGTGGACTGTGAACTTTGACCTGTGGAGTAATCAGAGCTGACAGACACACGGATCATTTTAGTCCAACACATGGGGATCATAGGCACACACAAAACTTTTTTCATGAGTTACAAAAGGCAACGGTGTAATGTTGCATTATGGCCACAAGGTGGCACAATAGCAGAAGACTCGGCAGTAAGAGACCTCATAGAGAAGCCCTGGTTTTAAGTAGTAGTAAAAAGGTGTTAACTTTAATGTGTTAACAGACCCGGATGTCAGTGCTGTCCTGAGAGCAAAGTACAGCAGGGGGCGCTCACAGCTCAGCTCTCTCTCTCTCTCTCTCTCTCTCTCTCTCCTTCTTCTGCTCCTCCTCCTCCAGTGCAGACCCTGAGTCTCAGGACTGTGAGTCATGTGTTTCAGTCCAAGGTTTTGAAGTGACCAGGACCTGATGAAGATGAGGAGGACGATGGAGGTGATGGTGTTCATGACGATGGTCGGCGCTGCAGTGACACAGCTGCTTCAGGAGGACCGGACCAACCGGGACTCTGAGCAGAACCTGTCAGACTTTGACTGGAACCTTTGGTTTGGAGCTCCAGGTTTCACTTCCTCTTCTTTTTCACCACAGTCTCCTGGACGAATTCCTCGTCACCTGAAAACCATTTTAACTAAGGTAAAAAAAAAAACACATCAAAGAATGTAGTTTGGGTCCAGACCGGGTCCAGACCGGGTCCAGACCGGGTCCAGACCGGGTCCAGATGGAGGTCTACGGTACCGTGTTTCATTTGGATCAGGTTAATGTGTGTGTGTGTGTGTGTGTGTGTGACCCACACACAGGAGACCAGGCCTCACATTCAGGAGCTGAGCATCAGAACTACAATCATCTCCCGCTACGCCATCACCGCCGTGTCGTGCTCGATGGTCAACCGCCGCGCCGCTCCGGCCGAAGCTCTCTTCAGTTTCCAGCTTCCACCTGAAGCTTTGATCTCCAACTTCACCATGTAGGTTTAGACCTTCATCTGAGTTAGACTGTGACCTGGTGTGGTCTTGACCTCTGCCCTCTGTGATTCAGGATCATTGCAGGGCGTGTCTTCCAGAGCAAGGTCAGACCCAGGGTCAAGAAGGTCAAAACGGGAGTCAAAGAAACGTCAGGAGGCAGATCACCTGAGACAGAGTGAGGAACGCTTTTCTTTTATCCTGGGGGAACAGACAGGAAGTGAGGTTTCCAACAGCAGCCAATCAAAACCTGCTTGGTCTCTGGGCGTTGACCCCGTGTCACGCCCTTCTTTTCATCCATTCCTTCTTCTTTCCTTGCCCTCAGTTCCCAACAGGAAGTGGACGTCTTCAGGATGGCGGTAAATATTCCACCTGGGAATCGTGCAGTTTTCCTGCTTACGTACGAGGAGCTGTTGCGTCGCCACCTAGGTCGATATGAACATGTGACGAGGCTGCGACCCTCGCAGCTGGTCAGCCGACTTCACCTGGAGGTGACGGTCGTCGACCACGCTCCCATCAGCCACTTGGAGGTGCTGCCGCTCCGTGGTCACAGCGGTGGATCCAGGAGTTCAGGTTTTTTCTTTTTCATATTTATCTTTTTTGTTTTAGGTTTTTTTTTTTAAGGTCACTTACATCGACTTCCTGTCTGTGTTCTCCAGCCAAACCAGTTCCTCCCGTCACCACACAGATCCAGAACCAGAACCAGATCTGGAAGGTAACCTTTAGCCCCAGTATCGTCCAGCAGGCCAAGATGTCCACCAGTGGGCTTCTGGGAGATTTTATCGTCAGCTATGGCGTCCAGGAAGCCCCGGGCGTTGGGGACGTGCAGGTGAGAGGTCACGGGGTCAAACAGCACAAACCATAGAAGGAAAAACAGGGAGAAAGACAGACCCCACTCTTGTCTCCCTCCTCTTCTCCCCCCCCTCCCTTCTACTCCCCTCC